GGGGGGGGGGGGGTAGGTAGGTAGAGGAGCTAACACCGGGAAAAGGGGCAGCCAAACCTTCTGGTCTTTGGTCTCCACGTTGACTCTGCCCCCGGTAGCCTCCGACTTAACCTCAGCCTCCACATAGGCCTCCTGTTCATCAGGTACCCAGACCCGCTTCTTCCCTGGGTTGAGGGGAGAGTATTGGGGCTTTGACAGCGGCGAGGCGCACCCAGGGGCTGGGCAGCTGGGGTTCCCAAGCCATGTCCATAGACGCGAACCCCTCCCAGTATCCCCTCTGTCAGGATACAGGAAAACCCAGAGTAGATCCTTCCTGACTGAGGCTCCTGTCAGGGCAAAGCTGGGAGGGTCTCTAAAGACCTTCTCAGGGGATTCCCTGACTGGGGTAACAATCCTTCACAGCCCTGATTATACACTCAGGCTCAGATTCCTGCTTCTGCCATACGTACCCTGTGACCTCAGGAAAATCCCTCATTCTCTCTGCGCCTGTTCCCTCAATGGCAAAATATTGCGGGTGTCTCCTGAGGTCCCATGTGGAGCAGCCCTCAATGTCAGGCACATCATTCTCGGGGGGATTCCTTGGCCTTCATTTCACTGAAGACTCAAACCCGGGTCTCTGAACCCTGTGTTTTGTATACCTTCCTGCCTGGCCAGCTGGCCCCAGAACTTCAGGGAGCCCATAGGTCATGGTGATTAAAGGCAGGACTCAGGCTGCAGACTACCAGGTTCTGTTCCTTGTCCTGCCACTTACTAGCCAAGTGCTTTAGTCAGGACCAGCTACATAACTTGCAGGCTCCAGTGTTAAAGTGCAGACCCCCTGTTAACAAAAATTATTAAAGCCTGGCCGGTGTGGCTCAGTTGGCTGGGGACTGTCCTGTACACGGAGAGGGTGCCAGTTTGATTCCTGATCAGGGCACATGCCTGGGTTTTGGGCTAGATCCCAGGTAGAGGGTGTGCAGGAGGCAGCCCATGGATGTTTCTCTCTCACATTGATGTTTCTCTCGCTCCCTCTCCCTTCCTCTCTCTCTAAAAATCAATAAAAATAATTTTTTTAAATTATTAAAAATTTCAAGATGGTGATAGGAGTGTTAAGTCAAACATGAAGTCTTCTGAGGGTAGTGCGCTTTGCAGATGCAGAGATGGCACACCCATGAAGCTGGTCCTGGCCCTGGTCCCCACCTCCCCAGGTTGAGATCCTGCATGGAAGGTCATCTGCTCTGGGCCTGGCACACAATAAGCACTTGATACACATTGCCTATTGTTATTATTGTCCTATGAACAAACCCGGTCATAAATAGTAGTCTTTATTCCTGTCCATAGTAAACAGAGGCTTTGGCTCTATGGAAAGCACTAAAAATAACTCCAGCACAGGTTTTTTGGACATGTGGAAGCAGCCTGCACCCACACCAAACATTCTCACCTCAGAGGCCCCAGGCTCTAGCCACAGACTGCAGCTCTGGGAGGCAGATGGTATTGTCCCATTTTACAGAGGAGCAAACCGAGGCTTGCTCACAAGCACAGTGATGTACACAGAACTTAACCTCAGGACCCCAGACTCTGAGGGAAAGGTCCAGGGTTAAAGCTGTCAGGCCAGAGTGAGTGCTCCTTCAGCCCCGAGCTCAGTGTCACCCTCCCCACTCCTGGTCTAAGTCCATAAAGACTTCTCTATGGTGGTGCCCTCTCCGCCTTCACTTACCATCCCATGGGACAGTGTGCACCTTCATCATCTCCTGGTAGCCCTGGCGGAGGTAGCGGGCAGACTCCCCGAGTTCACTCACATCCATCATGGTGGTAGCACTGAGAGGTGGAGGCTGAGGGACTAAGAATCTTGGAGGTTTCAGGTGGTCCAAAGCAGCAGGCACTGGAAGGTGGCAGTGAGAGAGGAACTGAGGGACCAGGGGCCCCAAACTGGGGCATGATCCAACAATCCACAAGACCTAGGTGATTCCCTGGGGCTCCTCATCTCAGCCTCCCTGGTGAGCCCCCAATACACACACACACACACACACACACACACACACACACACACACATATTCACACTCACACTCACACACACACTCAAACGCTAGAGCATCCTCTCCCAGAGATATGGACAGACATTCATACCAACCCATAAGCACCCTCACCCACTGGCCCACCTGTCCCTCCTTCAGCTCCAACCCCAGCCCTGATCACTCACCTCAGTACCATGGTGAGGTCTGGAAGCTGGGCTCCCCCTTTTATTGCTGCTGTCAAGGTCAGCGCGGAGGAGAGCTATGTCAGCAATCTCCACGTGTCACAGCCCCCCCAGCCTGGCCACAGGACACAAAAGTCAAATTCCCTTTTATCTCCACCAGCACAGCCCCTGGGCTATTTTTACCCCATTGTCAGGGGAGCACAAAGGCTGGAGAGAGACACTCCACTGAGAGACAGGGATACTGGGATTCAGAGACTGACACAGGGCAGGGACAAAGCAGTGAGAGATTTGGAAAACTGAGGGGCTTTGGGAGCAAAACTGAGTCACAGGGAGTATAATACACCCAGAAAAAGACCCACAACCTCAGAATGGAGAGCAAGGAGACCCGAAGAGGGGGAACCACAGAATGCCTTCTGGGACTATTTAATCCAACTTTCTTTATACATCCAGGGAAACTGAGGCCCAGAGAAAGGAAGGCACTGGCCAAATTTCACAGATAAGCAGTGTCAGAAACCAGGTCAAGTGAGACATCCCTCTCCAAGCACGTGGATGCCGTCTCTTTTCCTGACTTCTAGCCCCATCTCTCTGGAGGCTCCTGGGGAAATTACACATAGAGAAAGCCAGACATGGGATGACAAACATAAAGGAATGCTTTGGCTGAAGAGAAAGGAAATCGAGGAAATTTAGACCAATTAGGAGCCCCTTCATACTCTGACATTCAAGATTCACAGGAAGCCTACTTCCCACTCTTAGCCCCCTTCCACACCCTACTTTCAACAGGGGTTGGGGGTGCTGGCACTTAGCCTGATATGGGCTTTGGAATGTGTCAGGGCACTTCCAGGCTCTCCTGTCCATCATCCCATTCAGGCCCTGGTGACACCACAGAATTTTAGAGTCAGACAATCAAAGGATCCAGGAACCTTAGACATTGGACACCTAGACACTGGACACACACTGGACAGAGGCCCAGAGCCAGGATTATAGGCAGACGTCAGGCTGAACTCACACAGAGAAGTCCTCTACACCAATGGGCTACCAGTTCCAAATACACACACGTATCTATATTCCACACAGAAATAATTTCAAAGATACATTTTCAACCATATATAGTTCAAAACAGGCAAAACTAGCATATGATGATAAAAATGGAAGAGTGGCCCTTTGAGGGAGGGTAATGACTGCAGGGGGTGCAGAAGTAGCCTCTGGAATGCAGGAAATGCTCTGTACTGAGCTGAGTGGTGGTTACACAGGTGTATTCATTCTGTAAAACTAATCGAGCTGTATGCTTAAGATGAACTTTACTGTACGTAAACTGGTACAAATACATGGCATATTTGGCAATATCTATCAACACTACAAATGCCCAGACCCTTTCAGGAATTCATCCTACAGATGTTTCCCTGTGTTATGAAATGATACAGGTCTCCTTTGGTTAGACATGTAGATTATTCTCATTCTGCCGTAACAATCAGGGCTGCGGTGAATATTCTTGTACAGTTTCCACAAAGCAAACACATCCTGTTCAAGAAACTGAAATTAACCAACATCCCACTCACATCTTCTTCAGTCACCACCCCCTCACCTACTGTCCTGACTTCTAATGTCACAGATTAGTCTTCCTCACTTATATGAATGGAATCCTACATTATGTATTCCTTTCTTCTTCCTCTCCATGCTATATTTGTGGGAACATTATTCTGTTTTAATTCTCACCATAGAGCTTGGGTTGTTTCTTGCCTGTCTCTCCACACTAAAGGGCAAGGGCTTGGTCTAGATGCCCAGCACCACGCAGAGCACCTGCGCATAGCAGAAAGTCAATAAATATCTGGCTGGGTAAGAAAATGAACCAAAATTGATAGATCATTTCTATTTTAGGACCTTAATCTCCTTATGGGGTCAAAGACTAGGGATCTGGGCCTAAGCAATTTATAGAAAGCCCAGAGAGTAGGGAAAACTCTGCGTACTGTTCAAACATGCTCAGAAAGCAGGGCTTCTTGCCGAGGGCCCAAGTCAATACAATTAGCCTGGAGAATCAGAACTTCTAAGAAGCCTCACTGATACCAAGAGTAATGTTGGTCTGAATTCCAGAATTACTTGCTCAGTGTCTAAACCTGGGGCTGAGAAACCAATCCAAAGAAATGGGTCTAGAATTGACCCACAACTTCACTTTCACTACCCAGGGCATACCTTCTGCTGGGATGAGATCACAGACAAACATGACAAAGCAATGAGGAAACCCAAGATGCGCCTGAGTGAGGTGACACATGCTACAATCTCAAGGACTTAAGGTACTGACTTTAAATACCTAAAGAGCTATCCTGGAGCAGAGGGAGCCTATGTGAGTGGTGTTAACTCAAGAGAAGATCAATGGGGCAGTTACGAGGAAGCAGTTTGGACATATACACAAAAAAAGACTTTTCACACCTGGAGCCAGTCAGCAGCTGGAGAGGCGGCCTTGGAAAATAGTGAGCCTGCCAACAGCAAGGAAGGGTCAAGCAGAGGCTGCACGGGTCTTGTGGCTTTGGACTAGACAACCTCTGAGATCTGCTCCAACTCTAGGACTCTAGGATTTTAGCACCTCTGAAAGCTTTGTTTCTTAATAACCACACTCGCATCCCAATTAACCCATCTAAAGAGTAGCCACTGTAAAGAGCCCAAAATCTGTCTTCCTGCCTTTTCTTCCCAACATTATCAGTACAGAGACAACACATAAGTACACCTGGGTTTAGAACTCTGGGGGGTCAGAATCCTGGGTCATTAGAATCCTGGGGTGTTGGAATCTGAGATCATTAGAACTCTGAAGTGCTAGAATCCTGATAGAAAAGATCTGAAGCAAATATGACAAAATGTGTACAATGCTTTGTTAATTATTCTCTGTACTTCCCTGTATCTTTTACATTGCTCCCTCCTTTTTTTTTTTTTTTTTTTAAATACTCCCAGAGCATCTGGAATCAGGAGTCTCAGAACTGGAAGGGATATAGTCTCATTGAGGCCCTCAGCTTAGCTGAGGACACCAAGGCCCTGATGGGGAGAGAGGGAGGCACAGGCCAGACTCCAGGATCCCACTCCCAAAGTGAGCTCTCTACCCCAGCACATGAAAACCAGGAAGGAGAAAGCAATTTCAGTCAACACCAGCTTGAAGGCAGCTGAGTGACCTACAGACTGGCCTATAGTGTGTCTACCCTACTGAGCTGGAAAGATTCTCTCCAGAACCACAATCTTCTAGGCGCTTAAGGAACTGGCAGTGCTGGGAAGGGCTGCCAGGGAGGGCTGGGCCTCAGGGGCTCTACACAGGCCTATCACTGCCCTCAAAGACTGAAATGTAATCTCCCATCCCACCTACACCCCCCATGACAGAGACAGGGAAACTTAGGCCTAGCTAGGAACAGAGTTGTAGGGAAGGGGGAGGATCCAGGGTAGAGAGCAGGGTGGCCAAAGGCAGAGATGGGAAGTCTTAGGATGTAGCGGGGATGGAGCCAAGCTAGACACCAGGGTCTAGGTGTCCCCAACTCCTCTCCACCAAAGGCCTCACAGCAGCAAGCAGTTGCCAAGAGTCCTGAGCCCACAGCTTAGTATCAGTCAGACCTAGAGGCAGCTGCTGAGCTGGGGCTATTTTGGGGGAGATTTCCATGAGCAATGAGGAATGGGGCAAAGCCGAAAAGGGGCAAATCCCCTCTGGCCTCTCCTCTTCTAGCCCGAGATGCCAGGCAGGTAGGCAGAGAAGATGTGATTTGGGAACTAACTCCAGCCCAAAATATATCACCCACCAATGCACCCCGGTTCCTGGAAGTCCTTCTTTGGACAAGGCATTGAAGGACTCTGTTAAAACACTGCTACAGCTAGGAGGGAAACCTTAATTCAGTTCACTTGGCACCTGGCAGCTTCTAATCTGTGTCTAGGATGGGAACAAGACACTCAGGTCCAGAGGAGGAAAGGCACTGAAGAAAGATGTGAGAATGAAAGACTTTAATGGATAAAACCAAGTTTGACACCTAGATTGGCACAGAGAGGGTTATGACAGCAAGGTCCCTTTCCTCATAAAGCAGCAGTAAATAAACAAGCAAATACGGTTGTTAGGTAATGAAAGCTTATGACACATGCCATGGAAGAACTAAACAGAGTAATGCTATGGAGGGTAATGTGGGTGAACTCTATCCCAGATGGTCAGGAAGAGCCTCTTTGAAGAGCTGACTCTCAAGGTGGGACCTGACGGATGAGCAGGAGACAGCCAGGCTAAGAGCAAAGGAAGAATATTCCAAGCAGAAGGAGCAGTAAATAAAAAGCCTGAGGCAAAAGATATGTTGGTGGCGTGTTTGAGGCGTTGACACAATGCTAGCGCCACTGGCATGGGAGTGGGGGAAGGGTTTTACAAGATTAGACAGGTAGGCAAGGGCTGGGTCACTGAGAGTCTTGTGGGACTTGGAAGGGGCTCTGGACTTTATTGCATGTGGGACAGGACATTGTTAGGGCAGGAGAGTAAGTGGTCTGAAGTTTAATAATGATCACTCTGGCTGCCATGTAGAGAATGGACTGGAAGGGGCAAGAAATAAGGAGGCTGTGGCTATCCAAGTGAGAGAGGGGGTACCTGGCCAGGGAGGGGCACTGAAGGTATTAGAGAGGGTCTGAGAGCATGAACCCAAACCCCAAGGCTGGGCCCGGTTGAGGCTGGGCCACAGGGGGCATAAAGGGAGGTAAGGCCGGATGGAGCAGTTGGGACTGGACTGCAAAAGGCTTCAAAAAGCCAGATTA